TCCCTACATACGTTTTTGAAAGATAGAAACTAGGAAGACGGGGTATTCATATGCCAGTGGGAAATAGCCTATACTTCTATTAGGACTGAGAACTGTTAGGTCATCAAAAGAAAAAAAGTGAATGTAGTTTTACCAAAATTCAACTAGATGACTCAAGTAAACTGGAGATAGGGAAAACACGCAAGTTACGCCAGTCTCAGTGCTCAGAACTGTCATGTCAGCCCCAACTTCTTCATCTGACAACACCAGCACATTCTATACACTGCTACTTCCTTTCATCTTCCTTACACTGGAAGATATTTTTCCCCACTCTTCCTGACAAACCCTCAAACCTCAAGCCCTTTGCTGATTTATTCTCAGTTTCGTTTGGAGTGATCCCAGTGTCTCATCTTCATTGCTTAAACGTTGTTTCCAAAACAGCCTGCAAGCTGCTTCAGATTCCTTCAGCTCCAAGAAATACTGCTACAAACACAAAGTACAAAGCTGAGAGCTGGGGTAATTGAAGAGTAACCCCAAAATATATCCATGAAGTTTTGGGTTAGTTTCTCCTCCTACTTTCAGTTGTTTCTAGAGCCAATTTTTCATCTTTCCCACCAAGACTGGGAGAGGTCCTTTCCAAGACACGTTTTGTACATACCATTTTGGTAACCATTTCCCACTCACCTCCTGCAGAGAATTTCTGGATTCAGAATCACAATCCACAGTATGGATCTGCAATAATCTGCAAATCTCAAAGCTGTCTTTACTTATAGATCGAAATCCCATATAACTGAAATAGAGCGTTAAAGAGAAACACCATCCTTGGCCACATGCAGGATTTTGTACCTACTCCAAAACGCAAGTTGGAGGACTGTCAGATAACTCATTTCAGGATGTCCCTGGGCTTAGGGTAACCCTCCTGAGCACTCAGTAATTAAAGCTGATTACTACCCTGTTCTGTACTGAAGTTTGGAGAGGCTTTTGGCCATTTATTACTAGGACATCAGTGCGGTTTTCACCATTACATTTGAAGCACACTCATTCCAGGCTGGATATTTAGCAGCAACCACTTGTTAGAAAAGGGCCTTCCAAGCCCAAGGCATCAAACTGAAGCCATCATTTGTTCACAGCAAGGAAGAGAAGTGACATTCCTGTTATGACATGGGCCCAAAGGAAGCCTGTAGAACCTCTCATCGGAAGACCTGTGATAAGGTGACAGGGCCGCACCAAAAGAAATATTTTAAAAGGACTTTAACTCCTCAAATTATTCAACCAACAGTCGTAGCAGGCTGACACTTGTCTAGAATACCCAAAAGTTTGGCAACGATTTGACTGGCCTCCACTAGAAGTCAAGATTTGACCCAAAAAAGGCCTCAGCTTTCAAACACAGCTCTATGAAACTGGGTAATTTTGAACTGATCACTTCTAGATAAAATCATTCCCCTCCCCTCAGGACCCGCTATGTAGTTGCACCATGATCCAATTACGGACTTGACAGCCCAAGGCATGACTCTCTGAACATGACCCATACATGCACTCAACTAAGGGCCACTTCAAATTGGCTAGCAGACAGAGGTACCTTTTGGCTCTGGTCACAGGGCGACTGGACTCTGCATGACAACCCCTGAAGCTGGACTCCAGCTCAGCTCTGGTTCTTTCTGCAGTCAGAGCACCCTAAGTCCAAACACCTTCATTTGTAGGCTGACTGCTGAAGAGTGTTTTCCATTATTTCCTGTCACAGCACACAACTTTCTGGGGTGTCTTCAAATTAAAGCATACTTGAATTGTGTACAAACAACTAGCTGCCTAAGTATCACAGCGGATTAAGACTCCACACACCAGCCTTGATCTAAGAATCCCCTAAAATTGCCAACACTCATGGCAAGGCACTTCAGCTGGGGCTGCCTGCTGCACTTGCAGGTATGAGAATGGCTCCATCCCTGCTTACAAGAACAGCATTTCCTACAAAATTTAGATTTAACTGTCCAACTGTGAAGCTGGTATTTAACATCAACAGCTAACCACTTTAGTTATGGCTACAGACATTTAGTACCTTCAATACTTTCAGAAGTTTAATAAAGTAGAAAGCTTTCTCATATGCCTGAGAAAATGATTTAAAAAAACACCTCACCTCGTAAATGTTGGGGTGCCACATTTTGGTCAGGAATCTGAAGGTAGGTGGTGAATATGGATAATCAATAGGAAACTTAATGTGAGCCTGGAAAAGAGCAAAATATTTTAGTTGTCAAACAGAGCAAACAAAAGACACCAACAAGCAACAGTGAAAAGCTGGGGCGGGGTGGAATCAATTAAGGCCATGAAGTTGTCCATTTTATATACCAGTGCCCATAGGGCCTCACAGTATAACACTACACAATTTTCTTATGAGCAAAACACTAACTGAACAAGAAATATTTGAACACCAGGACTGGCCTGGGCTGGTAGTGCTCTGAAAACAAGTCAAAAGGCATCTACCATGTTCTAATTCAAGAAGCACTATCCATCAACTGTTGTTTAACAGGGCAAAATACATTGGAAAAGCTGGAACTCAAGATACTCCTCCTGTCTTTCTGGGTTCAGAAGCAGGCTAAAAGTGTTTGCTAAGGTGGACAGACCTGTTTTACACTTGACAGTGCAAATATTTTAAATCACTTTCTGCACAGAAAAAAGGTTAGATACTTGCTCTACTGAGATGCAAAGGTTTTTGCCTTTGTTGTGCAACAGTTAAGCTGGTCCATCTACCTGTGTTCCTAATACCACATTTCTGGCCACCACAAGCATTTCCCAAGTCTGAGTATCATCTGTGTCTATTTAATAAATCAGTGCAACTTAATGAACCAAATATTGATGGTCGATGACAGCAAACATTACTTTCCAGTGTCTCTGAGGTCAGCAGCCAGCTGTGGGGCAAGACACTCAGAGCCGAGTCAGTGGTGGGAAGACTGCAAAGACCCCAGAACTGGATATTAACTTCTGTGTGCTGTCATGCCATTCACAGCAGTCAGGAAAGCCCGTCACCAGGAAAGAGGGCTGAATCTGGACTGACTAAGTGCCAAAACCCACTCCCCTCTTGCTGCACTGTGGAGCACAAACCCTTCCCTTGGTACTGCTCAACCTGTCACTAAGGTCCTACCACCGCTCTAGCATGGGAGCTCCCGAGAAGCATCTCCCAGCCCCTGCACCATACCTGGGCTCAGGTGCAACTGAGAATGCAAAACAGATCCCAAAAGCAAGGTGCACATGGCGAGAGCAGAATCCTAGGCCACCCCTTCCCACTTAAAAGCATCTAACCATGCCACTTGGACACGGGGTGCTAACCTCGTTCAACAGGACAAACTCTGGCAAGTTTTAATCCCAAAAACATACGCATGCAACCGAACAAATTGGATTACTGAGCGATTAAGTACCTGGCTACAGTTTTGCTTATAGATTAGCAGATGCCTTTGCCTTGCAATCCAAATTCTATAGGTCTAGAGTGCCAAGTAGCCAAGAAAACAAGGTTTTCTATTCACCTTTATGAAACAAATTCAGCAGTTCACGTGGCTTTACGTTCTGCATGTGCCTGCTTCCAATACTGATGGTACATGGGGATATTACAGCACCACCGAGACCTCACCTCACAGTCATTTGCCACAGCACACTCACAACCAAAAGATTTACAATCCAGTTAAACAATCCCAGCCCACGGTTTCAGGTCAGTTACACAAATGGCACTGCTCCAAGAGCAAGCGAATGCCTCTTGTCACAACACCATCACAGAAGAGAACGGCTCCTGCAGTGAGGAAGTGCCTGGCTCTGCAATGTGCCACCCTGCGCTAGGAGTAGAGCAGAGATTTACCCAGGGCAGAGCAGATTCAATTCAGCTCAAGCACTTGCATCATGTAGCTGCAAACTCCTCTGGACCACTGGGGTTTTCCCAAGAAAGCCCACTCTAGTTTCCTGAGATCTAAGACATAAAACAGCCCAAGGACTGAGATTAAGAATGCAACAGACAACAAAACTCAAGGTTGAGCTAGCTACAAGATTTCTTGGCAGTACTTATGTGCCTTCTACACAGGCAGAGTTTCAAGTGACAAAAAGAAAGCATGATGCTAGTAGTGTACCAGTATTACCATGTTTATATGCCACATACATGGTCAAGGAGCTGAGGGTACGGGTCTCATTCCTCTCAGTAAAAGCTCTCTGCTCTCAATGTCTGACCCTGAAGGTTTCATCTCAAGTAGACGTGGCGCTTAGGGACGTGGTTTAGTGGTGGACACTGCCAAGTGTTAGGTTAATGGTTGGACTCAATCTTCAAGGTCTCTTCCAATCTAAACAATTCTGTGATTCTAAGTCCACCACTGCAGAGGCTGAGCCCAGAGCACCAGTTACGGTCTCTGTATGTAACGTAGACTCATCGAGACGCTGTACATCCTGGAAGACTGTTTCAAACTTTTAAGTTCTTTTTTGCAGCCACAACTCTTTAATAGAAAAGGTCTAATTGCCTGCCTGCAGTAACAATCATTACAGAATTAAACAAAGCTGATGTTTTGCCACATGAAGGATGCCTCAAGCTCTGGCACTAGAATATGCAACTGGAGAGAAATTAGAGAAATCTTTTCTGATGTGGGGGCAGATGAGACCCAAGCTTGCTTGCCTGTAACCAGTCACATATTTAGAGGAATCAAGAGTTGCATTGCTTGTTGATAAGCCATTTCTAACTAGCCCATAAGCATTTAGCACATTGAGATGCTCTACCACAGCACAAAGCAAGTAAAGCTTCTCTACAAACCTTATTTCAGAGTCAAAGCCACCAAACCAGGAAACCCCGCATTACAAGCAGGGACTTTTTCCAACCAAAAAGCAGATTACTTTCAGGTCGCTACGATGAAATCATCCAGAATTTGAAAAGTGAAACCAAATGCTCTTCCAGGGCATTACAAACAGGTCTCAGAGAATTGCGCCACATCTCTTCCATAAGAGAAATCATGGGAAATTATGTAAACCCACTCTGCTCTCACTGAACACTATGCGAGTTTCTGAGTGGGTTAAGCAAGCCAAGAATTTCCAAGGACAAGCTGCAAGACTGCTTGAAAAGATGTAGCAACAGCCATCATTATACGTCAGTTTCTTCACTAAAAACCCAGTTCTTATCATGTTAAGAGGCAGAAAGACCAAATTAGGCAATAAACTTATTTTTTAAACAGAGCTCACAGAAAGGTTTCCTCCTCATAACTTCACTGACACGAGGCAAATCAGCTGAGCTTATTTCTGGTTAAGTTCAGCCAGGCTGCTAGGTACTAGACAGTAGCAGAGTTTTAGGGCAGCTTCTTGTGAGCTCAGTTACAGACAGATAAACTAACTTAGGGAGGACTGAAGATGCAGCTCAGTCCCCCACCTACAAGTATGCAACCATTACAGCATTCACCATGTGCTTGACTCCTCCAGGTGAGCTTAAACGGAACAGAAATAATCCTATTTCAGCATCCTGATTTCCACTGCCTGCTCACTGTGGCTCTTTGACACCACTGAACTTACTCAATAGCCAGGAACGTGGAGAAGACTGTCATCAACCCATTCCTCCCTTCCCCAGTTTATAACTACTCATACTTACATTCCCTAGAAAAATAATAAACTCCTCTGATGTTGCACTGAATAGGCCAGCCTGGCAGAAGATTCAGCTCTTCATAGGCATTTACAGCTACTGCACAAGAACTTTACCCTCTAAGTTACACCACAACACATTAAGAATATTGCTACCAGTGTGCTCAATTTGTTTTCTATTTTACCATCTTGTTTCCTGGCATCCTCACTAGTGACTGCACTTTAGGTTTGTTATTTTTCTTTTATTTGAATGAGGCAAAGCCTTAGGAAAATCAATGTACGCCAGAAAACGAGAGTCTTACTAGATACCACGTTATTTGGCCGAAAATACAAACCTAACATTTCTACCAACCACTGAATGAAGTCCTGATTCAGTCGCTGTGAATAGCTACTACAGTAACTTTGTTTCTGGAGATCACGCCATGCATTTGACTCGACACTTACATAGTAATATCATCTCCTTCTTAGTGGGGAACACTAATACAGGCAGGACTCCCTCCTAGCTTCAGCTGTCTAGAAATTCAGTATTTATTCCAGCCTAGTTGTATAAGACACTGTAGTCTGACACTGATTTCTTCTACTCTTCTCAGCTGACAAAACCTAGATCCCTGATTTTTAGGCAACAAGCATAGGAATGGTGAATCCATCCTACACGCCCAATGCAGAAAGGCAATGGGGGAAGAACATACATTTCCTGGAAAGCTACCAGCATCACAACTGATCTGATTTGGTGAAATGAGGAGCACCAGCAGCTTTAACAGTGGCTAATGGAACAATACAAGCAGCTGCTTAGTGTTTCCAGAAGTGCCAGTTAAAGATAATTTTTATTTTAAAACATCACAAGCTTAATGCAAGCCCTATGAAAACACAGCACCAGTGAAAAACACAGCAACCTCTGAAAACTGTATTTCAGTTAAAACACAAAGGAAGCATTTTATTTTTAAAAATATTTTGTGCTTTTCTGCTACAGCCAGCCCACAGACAAGCTCCTACTGACTCTGCGTGCAGGTAAAACCACAAATCACCCACCCTACCCTGGCAAGTGGTAGAGCACTCGCAGACAGCACAAGGCCTCCCAATTTTTCTTTGAAAGAGGCATAACCAGGCCCCTCGCTGCGCACACCATCACTGCCCGCAGCTGCACGCCTCATGAATGCCTCCCGCCAGTGTGCTAACGACATTTAACATACGGGAAAGCCAACAAGAACGGGAACTACAGGCCACTACTGAGTAATGTGTTAATATCTAATCCCACAAAATGCCCTTTGCCGCTTCTAGCGCATCAACCATTTACACAATTCATCTAATGGATTCTCCTCTTCTACATTAAGCCTGGATTAGTGGACGCACTATTAAATACTATGTGCTGGAAAACATGTTCGTAGAGGTCAGCAGTAAGTACTAGCAGTCTATTTCTCACATCAATGATGTTTAAAGCACCTTGATATTGATCAGCATTAAAGCTAGCCACACTGTGTTGTCAACTATTTGACACAGTAAAACATTGCCATTTCAGTTCCAGATATTATGACTTAGGACCCAAGTCATCTCTTGCAGCAGAGCTGGGCACTAGCCTGGTAATTTAGTCCCAGCCCTAGTCTCACTTCCCAGCAGCACCACGTCAATTCTTATTAA